ACAATTGTAGGAATGCATTTTAGCTGTGACAGATCAGGGACAGGAAAGTGATAAAAAGGCCAGAGATGTGTGGGGTCCAGAATGGAGGGAAGAGGAGGCTTATGTCCTTTAAATACAGCCTTGTTTTTCATGTGCAAAAGTGCCTTGCTCAGAGGTGAACCCCCTGCAAGGAATTGTGGGAAATCATCTGGTGAGGAATGAGACTTGCTCCAGCTAACTAAAGGAGAACATGGGAAAGAATAAGGAACAATTTATTTAACAGATATATTCCACTGTGTAAAAACAAGTTATGCTGCTTGACTGCTCTTTAGACTACTTTCTAAAACAATATAGGTCACAGGTGAAAATATGTAGTCTATGCAGTCTAATCTCCATCACAAAAGCACCACACAATAGCAGTTCTTTCTTGTAAGAGTGCAAGGACTGGAATAATAGGGGCATGACAGGTCAAGATTGAGATGCCTTGGGAGAAAGAGAAGCTAATGCAGGCCCCTGCCACAGATATGCAAGCAATTTAATGCTGCCATGCAAAGCATACTTACTTAGAAGTAATTCTTACTTGCTAGACCCAATTCAAAGTAAATTAGGTTAAGATCAGAATGTAAGGCAAGGGACCTAAGCAGACTACTTACTTACTAGATACTTTGTTCCAGTCATTTTAAAAGAAAAATTAAAACTATAAGAAAATTAGCATTAAATCAAGATACTTATTTTGTTATAATGCAACTAATCTTACTAATCCACACCTAGTTGCAGACGTGGAATAGAGTAATATTTAGTTTAGTTGGAACCTTTTATACAGACTAGCTACGTTTCATTAAATTTGAAGTTAATAATCCTTTCAATACTGTATTGGGTAAATATTAAATGAGTCTACCTATATAAAATGGCATTATCCTTCAGTAAGAGTGCTACAACTTTTCTTCTACCAACTTCAAACATTATTAGATAAGCTCCTTGGAATTCAGATCCAACCATATTACTTCATCTGACTATTTTCCAATCATTTACTTTTATGCACTCCATGAATTAGAGTGGTTAAAAATAATGTGGGAATTGGAAACATGCATAATAAGACACTTTCCAGAACAAATTAATCGGTTATCATGTGAGTTTTCACATTAATTGGTTTGACCCTACTCAGAAGATTCAGGTTACATAATCTACTAGAGGCATAACAGTTAAACAAAATGTGGAAAGCGGTAGAATTCATAACCAGATTGTAGGGAATGTATTGAGTACAAATAACATACAACAAAACAATTATGGGAACAAAGCAACCAGTGAGACTCTTCTGCAACCATATCCTGTACATGTTTACCCAATGCATTCAAAGCCTTAGGACTCATACTCCTATGTTTACTTGTTTGGGAAGAAGCCTGATTTAACTCAATAGTATGTACTTTTGAATCAGCATACATAGGGCCAGGTTCCACATCCCACTGATATAACTGGCAGAGTTAATACCACTCCACATTGCTGGTTCTTCGGTTGTTTCTTCTTCCTCTTCCAGAGGACGTAACAAGCTCTTCCAATTATTCATTTGTAAACACTTCTCAATTGCCTTCAATATGTTCTTTCACTTATTCTGACAGATCAACAAATCCTTCTCCACCAAATTGTCTCGCTTCATCAATTATTTTCCTAATTTCTCCAACTAACCCCAGGAAGCCTTTAATATTAATCGTGACTTCACTCCATAAATTCTTCCAGCAGGCATTCACAGTCTCTGGTTTTCATCCATTAATTGCTACTTTGATTAATATTATTGTGTCAGCAATAGTGAATTATTTCCAGCACTGCATTATGTCAAGATTAGGGTCTGCAACAATTGATGATTGAATGCAATCAAATACCAGGCAGGTGTATGTGGCCTTGACACACCAAATGATGTCCTGGTCAAGGAGCAGAAGCAATGTGGTTGTATTTGGAGGTAAAAATGCAACCTCAACATTTCCATCTTCATAGCAGATTCAGGATGGCCAGCTGCATTGTCTAGTATTAAGACTTTAAATGGTGACTCTTCTTGTGCAAACTATTTTTTTAACTTCTGGTTTAAAGCATTGGTGGAACTATTCCATAAACAAGATGGGTGTCACTCAAGCTTTTTGGTCATGTTGCCATAACATGGTCAGATAACTTTTGTTTCTGAGAGCATGTGGCTTCTTCACTGGGTATATGTCACCCAACTTTACCATATGACCTGTGACATTGCCACATAGTGTCTGAGTTAATCTGTCCTTCCATGCTTTATGCCCTAGTGCTTGCTTTGTACTTTTATGATTGTAGGTTCTCCCAGGCATCTTCTTTCAGAACATCCCAGTTTCATCCCAACTGAAGACTTGCTTTGAATGGTATTCTTTCTCCTTAATCAAGTCCTTCAACTCTGCCAGAAATGTGGCAGTAGCTTCCTCATTGGCAAGTGCAGCCCCTCCAGTAATTTTTATATTTTTCAGTCCAAACATATTCCTAAATCTGTGTGATGAACCCCTACTTGCAATAAATGGCTTGATGTCACTCATTTCAGAGGATCTCTTGCTAAATTCTTTGTATAAGCTTAAAGCTTTCTGATGCAACATGTTACTGTCAATTGGAACATGCTTTCTGTTCATGTCTTCCATTCACAAATGTAATGCTTTTTGCCATCTTAACTAAACACTTGTCACACCCTGTGGCTGTAACTTTTCCAATTTGAGGTGCAACAATAGTAGCACAGATTTCTTTTTTCACAATTTCACCGATAGAAGATTCTTATCACACATCCTAGCAACCACAGCATATTTTTTCTTCTTTCCCTATTAAACTGAAATGGTCACCTTTTCACTTAAAGGAAGCACTTTACAACGCCTCTTTGGCACATCTGATTTGCTGGCATCACAACTCTTGTGCTTTGGGACCATTATTATGCAAAATAAGGGTCACTTGAACACAAGCACTGCAATACCCTGAGAGTTGATCTGATAAACAGGACTGCTGCTAAGAGTCTAATGACTGGGTAGCGTATTCAAACTGGACAAAGGGATGATTAACGTAGAGGTGGGACTGCACAAGAATTCAAGTTAATCAGAACAGTGCACTTTAAATTATGAATGTTCACTGTATTTCTGGAATTTCCCATTTAATTTTCTTGGACTGCAGTCAAGTGCGGTTATGTGAAATTGTGGTAAATGAGACAGCAGATACAGAGGTCCTACTCTTTTTATTATTTAAAATAGGTATATGTCTGAAGCTGAACATGGTGCAGAGCAGCACAAATGGACAATCTTGATTACTTGGTTTGAGCCTCTCCATCCCTGAAGATGGGGGTGGGTAAGATGAATGTGTGTTATATGTGCATACCTGTGCATCTCTGGCCCCAGGTTTACCACTGCAGGTGGCCCTTGAGACCCAAAAGATTGTCACCTCTGCCTTATGGTATCCTGATCCCAGGCTATTTTGGGCTTGGGTGAGCAACTTGCAAGCCTCCAAATGTTGTTAGACATCAGCTCCAGCCACCATAACCAATGGTAGGGAGTGATGGGAACTCCAGTCCAACAACAGGTGGAAGGCCACAAATTGTGCACCCCTGATTTCAGGTCTTAAAAGTGAAATTCAGAACTCTGAATTACCAAGGGAGCAAAGACAACCAGTGCAGGCAGCTCAACCAATATTAAGGAAATCTATTTCAATCAGAATACTTTGCATCAGGCAATGATGTGAGGTGGACAGCACAATCCTCATGCAAGTTTTCTTGGGAGCAAGTCCCACTCTGTTCAGAAAGCTGTGTTCCCACCTAAGTGCAGGTAAAATTGCACTCTTATTGTGGCATATACTAGACCCCACTTCACCAAATGCAAATTACGCGTATTGCTGGGGTTACCTACTGAGTTTCTGGCATTCTTTCTTGCCATAAAGTAGGATGCAAGTACAGCTCTCCCCGTTTCTCGCCTTAAAACGGTTCGCCTACACAGAGTGGACCTGTGACGACAAGCAGGGCACTACAATGACACCAACCACGAAAGCCAGAAGATTCGCCGTCCAACTTCCATGTGTCGATCCTGCTATACATGCCTACGCAGAAGTAAGACCCAGTGAGTCCATTAAGCGCATAGGATTGCAGCATCAACGTTCTTCTTGTGATTCTGTTGACAGGCACTCAGGATGACGCTTGAGCGTTTCGCGACAGGCTGGCCTCCCCCCCCCCCCACTTTTCCTCCTCCCACAAAAAAACTACTCTTCTCCCCACCGGTGTTGTGATTTCCAAGCGTTGAAATTCCCCACACTATTCGGCGCTGCATGGCAACGGCGAAAGGTGGCGCCCTCAAAAGCGGGTTGGAGGCGAGGCCTAGGTCCCCTTTTTCTCCCCCCCCCCCCGATCGTGCTCTATTCCCCCCCCCCCCACGCCGCACCCCCAGACTCTCTTCCTCTACCTGCACGTAGGGCGCGGAGCCCGAGCACAGGGAAGACCAGTGCCCCCCACCCCCTCTCCTCCCGTGCCCCGGAAGGAGTTGCCCGCTTGCCCTCGGAAGTTCTCCTGGGCACAGTCCGGCCCAGAGCGAGGCCTGGCTGCCGCTCTCGGGACTGGAGCTCCAGCTACAGCAGGCAGCGAAGGACTCCGGGCTGCTTGTCTGGCCCCCCGCAGCGGCTTGACCTCATGAAGGAGGTGAGTGCGGACTCTTCCCTAGCCCCGCGGCCCCCAGTTCTTCTTGTCTGGGTCGGGATTCTCCCTTCGGTGGGTTCCTCGTTGGTCTGCAGTCGCTTTTTCGGCCTGGCTAGAGAGTTGCGGCGAACAAGCGAGAGACGGCGGATTGAGGGAGAATTATTTTTTCTGCTGGGATGGGTGGCAGATTTGGGCGGCGAAGGAAACCGAGTCCTCCTACTTTCTTTTGGCGTTTCCCATGGAGACTTTGAGGAGAAAGGCTCGGCGACGGCTGCTACTTATAGATGCCGAGAGGAGGTTCGGGAGGGAGCGGACGACGTGAAGGACGGCTGAGCTGTCTTGGCGGAGGGTGTGTTTGGTGTGTTGAACGTACAGTGTTTCTGTTGATGGGCGGTGGCGGTGGAAGAGGATTGATGTCAGCAAACGCCCTCCCTGTGGTTTCGACTGGGCAGCTTCCATGGCACTGGACAGTTTGCCCGAGGGCTGCGTCCCATGATACGCTTATGTCAGACGCTTCTGCCGCAGGTGTAAGGGACTGCTCGGGGCCACTTCGGCATTTTTCTCCCTGTGAGTTCCTGGTAGAGATAGAAGCGTTGGATCCGGATATAGGCAGGTGCAGCTGGACTGTCGGAGGTGGACTTACCTCGTCCCCCGGCAGAGCGTCCCTAAAATGCTACACGAGGGTGGTGAGTGCTGAATGGGGAGGTTGTAATGTGGGGGGAAAGCGCAGGGGGGATTCCGGAGAAACGAGCTCCAGCTACGGAAGGGATCTCTGCCTGTTTCTTTTCTTTTCTTTTTCTTTTAAGCAGTCATCTTGGCAGGTTGGTTTTCAGAATCTACCAAAGAGAAACTTGATTTGGCCAAGGCCACATTTACAATACTTTAATAACTGTTTAGCTTTTGAGGCGTGGGGGATAGTGGCTCATAGACATCAAATTAACTTGCATATAGGAATGGGTGTTGGGAGAGGAAACAAGGGCTGACATATTACCAAATGCTTTTTGACAGGAGAATAGCTGTAATAGATGTAAACAATATGGAACAAAACTTCTCAAATTTCTCTTAGGCCAGCAGAAATCAAAGGGTGTTCTGATAGTGACATTTTCTTTATGTTGGGCACTCTCATGTAGAGCTATATTGAAGTAATTCTTTTAAGTAACTGTATTGAAAAGCTTGTTGGACTTATAAATTATTTGGAGCAATGCCTTTCATTTGTACATATTTTATGTCTCCATTATGTCTCTTGCAAATTCTTCATGATAACATCATTATGGGAGTGGCTCCTATGTGAGCATTCAGGATAATCAGGCCCAAACCTGATGCCTAAACTGCTGAAGGATCCTAATAAATTAATGAAACCATTCAAACAGGCTTTTAGAGTATAGCCTTAATAGATAATGTATGTCAGATGCAGTGAAGGATTGTTTCTCATATTTTAATGGGGTTAAAACAAATAGTTGTATGTATTCATTCAGTTTTCTCCTGGTTTTCAGACAAAACAGCTCACATCATTCTAAAAATAGGAGATAGACCATGCCTTCAGGCACACACATTTAAAAGACAAGACAAGAGAAAGGGAAAAGTAGTAAGAGGCCGGAAGGAAAATAGTTGAACATGCAAGAACAAGGTGGTGAGTTGCCATTAGGTGTTTTATATCTAGTTGCGGGTGGGTTTGTCTTCCTTTATTCATTTCCTTGGTTACACAGAAGTAGCCCACAGATTTTTCTACACTTCTGTAGTCCTGGCAGTTGAATATTGGCAGTTGATAGAACATGTTTCTGTGCTTTGAGAAAAGTTTCTAGTGACAAGATACAGGGTAAATTAATTGGTCACATAGGCCAAGGATGAATTAGGCTTGCACTGAATGATTCATGTGCACTTGGATTATTGAGACAAACAATAATTGTTAGTTGGCACTATAAATTGAATTGTTATACCTATAATCTTTGAAACCATATAGCCTGAATCCTGAATATGAAGCATAATCCTATCCTGTTCATGTTTAGAGAGAAAATGCTGCAAATCCCAGCAGACCTCAGCCTGGGACATATTATGAGTTGTAAAAATGTTTGAGTGTAAATATGAATTGCTTCTTTGTGTTATAAAAATGAAAGGTCAGTTGACAGATATGTATTCCTGAAAATTGGTATTTCAAATGCAATTTAATCTGCAGTGTACTTTTTTCTGGCTAAGATCAGGTTGCAGATGTACAACCATTATTTAAGTGTCCTTTGTAAAGTAAGTAATGCTGCAGTCCTTTCCTACTTACCAAAGTGAACCACTGAACTCAGTTGGTCTTACTTGTGAGCAAACATCACATATATAAGATTGTGTTGTAAATTGACTAAGAACTTTAATCTTTTAATCAGTTGTGCAAACAGGCAAATTGTGGCCCTCCAGATATTTTGGCCTACAACTTCCAGCATCCTTCACCATTGGCGGTGTTGGTTAGGGTTAATGGGAGTTGTATGGCAAAATATCTGGAGGACCTCATGTTTCCCATCCCTAATTTATTGTGGTTTGGACCCAGACTTGAGCTGCAGGCTATGCAGAATAAATGTTTTATAACTTCTAGCATGCATCCAGTTGTTGCTAGCGTATGCTTGGAGTTGTAGATTTTTCTGTATAATGTGTATAGGATGGGCACTTTAAGTTACATTTAGAGTAGACTCATTGAAGTCAAAGGGAATTAACTTAAGGAAATGTGCAGGTTTAAATAAAAAAGATAAAGTACTTTGAGAGTTTATGCATAACTTTTCATGTGACTTCTCTTTTGAGGATGACTGCACTAATTTTAAACATTCTAAAGTTAAATGTGTTACATTAAGTTATAAACGCTGAATTCTTGGAATGCTGGATGAATGCCTGGCAGTCTAGAACTTGTGCAACCAAGATAATACAAGTTTCTGCTGATTCACACCTGCAGAAGGGCTCATTTCACATGACACTATGATTAACAAAGCAAAGAAGCAAGATCTTGGTATTGGTCTTTGAGGGAAGTTGGAAACTGTTTCAAAGTTATGGTAGCCTCCAGTTTGTTGTTTCCTCTGTTTAGATATATAAATACTAGTATTTGGGCTTTTTAAAAAGTTAAGAGGCTCTGAAAAACCATGTGTGGGACTGAGTAAGAAATCACCCCTTTTCCTGTTTGGAGTGGTGGCAAGACAAATGTGCCATGACGTATCTGATTTTGCTCTTTACTGCTGTGGCTAAGTAGTACATGAACTGTTTTGTGGAGTTTGCAGTGTGGGTTCAAATTTGAGGGCTCACTTTTTTTTGCCCCTGACATTCTGTGCATGCAGAAGGTGGAGTGGGGCATGTTCTCCTTTCCTTATTGGGCTTAAACTCCAGCTAGCTGCTTCTAAACTCTCTGCCCTATAGAGTGAGTCACTGAAAGCTGTTGTCTTCCATGTGTATCTGTATAAGCATGCCCTAGCCTCTCCCTTTGGTCTCTTTCAAACCTTTCCCTCTGTGCATGGGTCTTAACCTTTGTTCCAGGAGGGCATACCCTTTGCAAGCATCCTGCCAAGATAGCACTGGGGGTTGCGTGTCTTCTCCCTCTTCTCTGTTGTATGTGCTGTGTCTGTAACCCAATTATTGTGTGGAGCATAAGGGAATTTGAACCCTTGCTTGTAGAGCGCAGGCAATAGTGGGATTGTTGTGGGCTGCACAACTGGGGCTGATGGAGTTGGGGTGCTTTGTGCTGTTCTTGTGTGTTGTGATGTAGAGAGTGTATTGGGACTGTGTTTTGTTTTGTATGAGTACATTGACTCCCATTGACTGTAGGTGTCAATGTAGTTCTTGATTGGTGGACATTGGCATGTATTCAGGGACAGTGGGAATGTTCCTTTCATTGTTATGCTGTGCTTCTATTTTCCAGTGGTGGTTTTTCCTCCCTGCACTCCTGAGCTAAAGATGAATTAGATACAGTGGCTGCTCTACCACTGTGGCAGTCAGTGTATCTCTGGTCCCTGTTCAGTATTAGTATAGGATTGTTCTGCCCATTTAACATTGAGTGCATAAAAGATTCTTGTTACTTCCTGTTAGTAACAGTTAAAACTGGACTTAATGTGGAGTAGATTATTCTATTTCTGTGAGGTGCTAATGCCATTAAGGGTTTACTGACTTTCTTTGGTCAAGTGAGAAAGAGATGTCATTTAGTAATCTCTAGCCAGCTTCAGAAATGGAAGAAGAAATATTAAGAGGGAGAAAAATGACCTTTTCTTTTGAGTAGTGCTAATCTGGTTATATGTAAATATCATAAAGATGTTGAGCCAAACCATTATCTAGCTTTTGCTATATTAGCATTACAGCTGCATCTTAGAGCACACTCTCAGTTATGGGAGGCAGATCATTTTTCTCACAGGAAGAGAAGACCAGAGTTTGCCTTTTAGGCTGTCATGTGACTGAGATGCTCTGACTGCCTTAGCAGTGCAGGGGCCAAACAGTCCCTGATCTTTCTTCCAGCCTTGGAATGGCAAACTGCTGGGATTGCTGCCCATCACTGCAGGTCCAAGGTTAGGAAGTTGGCTTATCATACTTGTCAGGTAGAGGTAGCATGAAAAAGTATGAGTCTGCATGCTAGAGTTTCTTAGTAGTTGCTCCCATTAAAACAGAGTCTTATGGTATATTTATACAATGGATAAAGATTTTGAAGAAGAGTTAAGATTGATGGCTATTTAGTTTGAGAAAATTCTGTGAGTCAGAGCAAAGGTTTTTTGGACATATTATCAGGGTTTAAGAGGTCATCTGGTTAGAAAACCATCCGTATTCTTCAAACAAGATATTCATGGAAAGGACAGTTCAGTTTAGAAGTATGGTCGCAAAACTTAAATTATACTATTTGTCCTCTTGAGCATGGATCATGGTAATTGGTAATGTTACAAAAATATAATAAATGTACCTAACCATGAAGAAGTCCTAATTAAAGACTGGGAAGATGTGTGTAATTAATATAATGGGGGGGGGGAGTTGTCCACAAATTGCTCTGAAATAATTGACTTTTCCATTTGGGGAAAAAGGAGTATTATGAGGCATGTGGGTTAGCAAATGATTGGCATTGGATTAATGATACTAAAATAGAACAGTATGGACTTGGGGAATCTTTTGAAAAAAATGCATTATTGTTTCATAGAATACAAGGCTTGAATAGATTTTTAAAGGTGCAATCTGATTGCCCCTGCAGCAGATGCTTGTAAGTCTCCAGACTTTCCAAGCATGTCGTAAATTGTCGCATCAGCAATCTCTGCCATTGTTGCATCTTGAACCTTGCATTTTATTTAGATGGCCAAAAATAGCCATCCAGATTTAACATGAGGGAAAGGATTAGAAGGCTGGGGAGTCAGTTGAAATTACTGTAACTCTCCAAACCCAGCCTCCTCTACTCTGTATCTCTTAGCGTGCCCCCTTTTTCTCCCCCCTGAGGCCCAGTTGTGTCTTGGGGCTGCAGCTGGCACAATTATTTCTTCACTGGTTGTGAGGGGATGGGGCCAGAGCACAGCCTTCATAGTCTGAACTGTGAGGTCAGGGACTTAAGTGCTCAGACTCTGAAAAATCCCATCATTTTCCAGACGATGTATGGAGGATATAGGATTGCTTCCTAGGGAACCCATGGGTAAAAACAACTTTTGAAGGCCACATTGCATACACATTACATTACACATTTCAATGATATTTTACTCCATATAAGACTAAAATAATGTGTAGAATAGAACAAGATAAAAACTTGAGATGTAATTTTTTTGGAGGGGGGGGACACGAATGTCCATAGGGTCTATAGATAAAGGTTTATTGGAGAACTTCATTACTTTAGATGGACCAGGAAACAAACTTCTTAGTGATCCTTCAGAGATTCTATTAAATTCTTTAAAAGGTGAGGTAGAAGAAATAATTTTTAATTTAATGAAAATTAATACCAATTTTATTGCCTTTTATAGGTATAACTGTTGTTCTCCCTCTGACTGGTTTTTAGTATCTGGCATATAGCTAATATATTGGCTTAGTATATGCATACATGAGAAAATCAGATGGTTTAAAATTGATTAAGTTTTTAAAAATTACATTTGCTATCAAATTATACATGTTTACATTTATTATCCCCCAAATAAGAACATTTCTTGATATCATGTGTAATCTGATAAAGTTTGTCTCAGCCTTTTTAAAAAGGTAAAGGTAAAGGTTTCCCTTTGACATTAAGTCCAGTCATGCCTGACTCTAGGGGGCGGTGCTCATCTCCGTTTCCTGGCCAAGAGAGCCAGCGTTTGTCTGCAGACAGTCTCCGTGGTCATGTGGCCGGCATGACTAAACACCAAAGTGCACGGAACACTGTTACTTGCCCACCGAAGTGGTACCTTTTTATCTACTTGTATTTGCATGCTTTCGAACTGCAAGGTTGGCAGGAGCTGGGACGGAGCAACGGGAACTCACTCTGTTGTGCAAATTTGAACCAGTGACCTTTCGATCAACCAGCCCAGCAGCACAGCAGTTTAAACCACTACGCCACCTGCAGTCCTTCTTAGGCAAACTATTGTTTAAGTAAGCTTAATGCTAGTGATGAAATACTATCTATAAGGTGCAGCTTCCATAAATATTCACCTGTATTATGGATAATATGGCTGCGTTTTTAAGAAC